GCCAGGCTGAACGCTCAGATGTCAAGGTTTCCCATCTGTTGAGGTCCATTCCTAAGGCCTTCCAATCTCGCTTGCAGATATCCTTGTATTGCAGCTGTGGTCTCCCTCTGGGGCGATTTCCCTGCACTAATTCTCCATACAGGAGATCTTTTGGAATCCGACCATCAGCCATTCTCACAACATGCCCAAGCCAACGTAGACAGCGCTGTTTCAGTAATGTATACATGCTAAAAATTCCAGCTTGTTCTAGGACTTCTCTATTTGGAACTTTGTCCTGCCAGGTGATACCAAAAATGTGTCGGAGGCAATGCATATGGAATGTGTTCAGCTTCCTCTCCTGCCAACATGCTGTCCTTGACACTTCTCTTGTAGATGTTGAATGGCAAAGATCCTGCCATGCACAAAGGGTCCAGGACTCACTGCAATACAGGAGTGTGCTCAGGACACAGGCTCTATAGACCTGGATTCTGGTGTATGCCGTCAGCTTCTTATTAAGCCATACTCTCTTTGTGAGTCTAGAGAACATGGTAGCTGCTTTCCCAATGCGTTTATCACATTCTCATAATAACATGTTATAAGGGACTCAACCCCAAACATTGACTGTTCATTAGATATATAGCCAGAATTTTTTAATCATGATCATGATATTAACCTGTGAACCATTATTTTAAAGCTACTGCAACTTGATCATTGGCATCTGGCACCTTGTTCATCCTGACACATTAAAATGTGAGTTACTAGTTTTAAAGAAAATTTATAGAAAATCTTTATAGCCAAAATTGGAGATTTATGCCAACCTAAATGTAACTGTGTAAATCATGACAGCAAATTGCCACTATTTTACAATTTGCTGTTCACATTCTTGGTCAAGTGCCAGCCTTGCACACGACCAGGAATGCAAGGAGCAACTGAATAATTATCATCAGTTTACATGCATGGCTTATACAATAATATTTACACTGGCTTAAATTACCAATAGGACTCTAGCCTAATTTCTTTAAAATCAGTATCAAATGCAGATATGTGTTGGCACTGTAATCAGAATGAGACAAATTTTGCATAACAAAAATTTGCTGTGCAATGAAATGAGAAGACTAATGATACATAATTCCACTGTTAATATTTTGCTTGCAACCTTATGGTGTGCTGTGAAATACTAGAAATGATCTTATGTCTGACCAAAGCCGGTTGAAGGAGTGATGAAAGTGGTATCCTTCTGTCCCTTTGTGCTGGTGAAATGCAAACCTCTATCAGCATGGGGAATTTGTAGTGGATTCCAAAGCAATCTTAAACTGAGGGAGCTGCTGTATGGGAGAACTACTGGGACAGACATGAAGCAAGCTGCAATATATTCAGGCTTTCCTAGGAGGAAGGACTGAATCTGTGTACAGTAATTGAAAAACTAAACTCCCATCTATAAAGGAAGAACAACCTAATTTGATACACTCAAAGAAATTACATCAGCAGCAAACAATCTGAAGACAGCACACACAATATACCTAAAGGCCTGCCTAGCCAACAAACAAACAAACAAACAACAGCAACAACAAACTCTTCCCATTTCCAAGCAAAGAAAGGCCTGGGAGACCGTCAATAATGTATCTCCCAGAAATCAGCTATCTGTCCCATTCACTCCTCTTGATTCATGTTGTTAAACGTTGCTACACCAAGGGAGGTCAAAAATGTGAATATAAGGAATAATGCCTTATACTGTCTCTCAGAGTTCTGTTATGTCCCTTATTCAATTTAACATCTATATAAAACCGCTGGGAGACATTGTCTGAAGTTTTGAGGTTTTGGTATCTCCAGTATGCGGACGACATCCAGCTCTATCTCTCCTTGCCATCTAAATCTGAGAAAGTTATTTCAGTTCTAGATCAGTGTTTAGGGTCAGTAATGCACTGGACAAGGGTGAATAAATTGAAACTTAATCCAGACAAGACAGAGGTGCTCCTGGTCAGTTGAGAGGCAGATCATGGAACAGAGTCACGGCCTGTGCTGGTTGGGCAACACTCCCATCGAAAAAACAGGTGCGCAACTTGGAGATGCTCCGGGATTTGTCTTTAAGTTTGGATGCCCATGTTTTGGCGGTAGTCAGAGTACATTTGCACAATTAAAACTGGCCATGGTGACACATGACCTGGCCATGGTAACACATGATTCAGTTCCATCCTGGCTGGATGGCTTTAATATATTCTGCATGGGACTGCTTATGGAAAGTGTCCAGAAACTTCAGCAGGTCTAAAATGCAGCCAGATTGCTAACCAGGGCAGGTTACAGGGATCACATAACCCATGTTACAGAAAGCACACTGGCCACCAATCTGTTTCCAGCATGAATTCAAAGTGCTGGTTCTAACCTATAAAGCCCTAAATAGCTTGGACCCAAGCTATTTCAAGGACTCCCATCTCCCTTTATGAGGCTGCTCAAATGTTAAGAGGCCTTTCTCTCGGTTCCCTCCACCTTCATGGGTGCACTTGGTAGGGACACAGGAGAGGGCCTTCTCTGTAACCGTTCTTAGACTCTGGAACTCCCTCCCACAGAAGGCTAGGCTGCCCCCCCTTCTTACTGTCCTTCCACAAGCAGGTGAAAACCTTTCTCTTCAGGCAAGCTTTCCCTGAGTGAATGGCTGCCTAAGGGGTTTTTAATAGGATTGTTGTACCTTGCTGGTTTTAATTGTGCCTTGGTATTTGTTTAATCATTTTTGTAGTGGTATACCCACAGTTGTTTATCTTTAAATACTGTCTTTTAATGATGTAAGCTGCCTTTTAAGGAGAAAGGTGGGATAATTTTTCAATTGTGACCTCTTGTCTCTGGAACAAAATGCCAACAGAGATAGACCAGGCTCCTTTCCTCCTTATTTTTAGCAAGTTGGTAAAGACTGCATTTTCAAAAGCTGCCTTAAATAATTGAATCTCCAGGATGCTGTCAATAATGACTTATTTTCCTTTTTTAATTAATTCTAGATTTTTAGGGGGTTATTTATATTTATGGCTATAATTATTATCTGCTATATCACCATATCATTTTAATGTATTTTCTGGGGTATTGAGGGTTGCAAATTTTAATTTTTATGTAAACCTCCCAAACTAGTGCATGCACTAATGGGGCAGTATAAAAATTGAATGAATGAATGAATGAATGAATGAATGAATGAATGAATGAATGAATGAATGAATGAATGAATGAATGAATGAATGAATGAACTAAATCTCATGGTGATCCTTCTTGGTAATGTAACCAACCATAATACAAGGAGTTTGCAAGTTTAAATTCTGAAGAAAGCCTGCTATTTTTTGTCTGGATACATAATTTCACAATAATTTTTGTAAGTATTTTTCTGAATATTATTTTATTTCAACTTAAACATATTTATTCATATCACACTTCATAAGATTCAGAGCAGTTTAGAAAATTATTATTATTATTATTTATTTAATTTATATCCCGCCTATCTAGTCGTGGAGTAGACTAATGGCTACAAAAAATTTCCACAGGAAAGGGAAAGGAAATGCACATGCTTGGAATTTCACTGAAAGGAGAGTTGTGCTGTCTTCCATATTTTCAGAGTAAAGCCCACACCACACCATCTCAATTCTGAAGACTTTTGAAGAAGAGAAGATCCTAAAGGCAGAATGGGTAAAGCTGATGGTTTTGTTTTGAAGAGTCTGCTTGTGATGATAATTGCTGTATAGCAGATGTGGGGAACCATTGGCTTTCCAGGTGCCTACACGTCCCTCATTTCCACCTGTCACTTTTCATGGTAATTGCATGGGCAATAGTGCAAAATGCTGGGGGAGGGGGTCAAAAACAAGTCACTCTTGCTATACGGCTTTAGAATTCAGGAGAGGACGACCAGTGTAGGGTCCAGAAGAGGTCTAGAGATGTTGGCTTTGTTTTAATTTACAACCCACTTTTTTGCCAGTAAAGAATGGAAAGGTATGATACTGAGAAATAGATGGGGGCAGCTTGGGATTGGCATGATGTGACCGGGGGTATTTACTGGCCCGTCTTTGGCTGAAGTGCTGTGATGGGAAAGCTGAAGGAAAAGGAGAAGGAGAAGAACGTAAATAGGCAAGATGGAAACTGTGCTTAATGGAGGTTCCTTGCCTGTTCCTTAGCTTGAACCTGGCCCAAACCTAACATTGTGCAGGCATATCAGATGTCCCCCCCCCCCACTCGACCTGGAGAGAGTTTGAGTCTGAATGAACATACCTCCTGCCTTGCCCCATGCCTTTCTTTCTTTTCTTTTTCTTTCTTTCTTTCTTTCTTTTTTTGGCTCCTCTGCAGGTTGATCCTGATCCGCACAGGAGTTGAACAGGCCAATTTTTCTACCCACGGATCTCTCGGATCAGCCACCACAAGAAGGTTGGGTTGCTGGAAAGGCAAGTGTATATCATTCAGCCCAAGAGTCTTCTGCCCACGCCACAAGCTTTACAGCTGGCACATCTTTGTGCTGGGCTTGCACTGCAACAGCAGAGAAGAGGCAAGAAGAGAGCAGGTGCCTTGGGGGGCAGTCACCTGGGGGGTCAGAGGAGCTCCTTGGGAAAGTCAGGGTGCTGACTGCTCAGATACAGGAGGCTGTTCCAGTGGGGAACTCCAGCAAGTGAGAGACGGAAGGCATACCTTGATCCGGGTGAGAGCCCTGTGACCCCTCAGCAACGACCAAAGTGCTACTCTCCCCACCCACCCCCACAAGTTCCCCTTGACAGGCTAATCCCCTCTCTCGAATCCCAGGGGCACTTTGGAGAGCCCACGGAGAACTTTGCCTGTGGGTGTCGGGGATCCTCGGGAACATATTGGGGGCGGAGAAATGAACCCCAGAAGGGGCGCGCTCGCGGGAACGGGGGGGGAACAGGTTACTCCTGGCGCCTCTCCCCCCCCCCCAGCAAGGCTCTGCCGGAGGGGGCGGGAGGCGGGCGCAAGTGCTGCTGCTGCACGTGGCCTCTTCGGGGCTCCCCCTCCCCCGCGACGGGGGCGGGTTCGCGCGCTCCCTCCCTTCCCTCGCTCGCTCGCTCAGGGCTACAGGCGGCTCGGGCGCAGCCGCGTGCTCTGCCAGCTTGCCAAGCTGGAGCCGGAGCCGGGCGCAGAAGAGCCACCTCTTACGAGTCCTTCCCCGCCTCGCCCTGTGCGCCCAGGCGCCGCGGTTTGCCGCCGCCTCCCTTTTCCTTTTCCGCCGCCTCCTCCTCCTCCTCCTGCCGCTGGGCTGCCCCGGGGATGTCGCTCGGCGTGAAGGGACCCGGGGCTCCTGCACTCGCCTGCCCCCGCCGCAGGGACGACTGAGAGAGCGTGAGTCACTCGCGAGGGCTGCCCGAGCTTCGCCGGCCGAGGGCTCTCTGACTCGGGCTTGCCTCGTCGCTTTTCTCTCTCAGTCTTTGGGGGCTTCTCTCTCTCTCTCTCTTTTCTTTTTTTCTTTCTTTTTTTTTTGCGGGAAGGCGTGCAAGGAGGGGGGGCGGGGGGCGTCCGCTTGGCTCTGCCCCTCTCCTCAGGTGCTGCTCGGGGAGGGGGAGGCGAGGCGAGGCGAGGCGCGCGCACGGCTCGAGTTGGGATGAGGGGAATGGGGGGAAATCCCCGTGGTGGTAGGGAAAATCCTGGCTGAACGCGCAGCCGGCGCGCGAGAGAGCTAAAGGCGGGGAGGGGGGGGTTGGTTGGGGGCGCTGCCAATGCCGACCTCTCCCCCCCCCTCCTGCCTCTAGTGTGTGGGGCTGCTTCGAAGCCCGGCTCTGGGAGATGATTCATTCTTTGCGGGGGAGGCGCTGATACACTTGGCTAATCCTTCCCCCAGTAATGGCGAGCAGCGTGTGCGCTTCAAGGGGTGGTTGATGATGCGAAACCTTCTGTTGTGTATTGAGGGGGAGACTGGCCCCACTACCCTTTCCTAAGCAGTTACTTCCCGCCCGCACCCCCACCCATCTTGCTCCACGGATGGCGGGCAGGTGTTTCTACAGTGGCGTGGAGCACTGCCAGTGCCAGGGACACGACACTTGACCTCCTGTCCCTGCAGTGTCAACCTTGCGCTGGAGGTCCCGCGCTTGCGATCCGACTCACGCGCTCTCTCGGGAACAAGTGCCTTTCAAGCCAGTCGGATTTACTTTGAGCGAACATGCAGAGAATTACAGCAGCCTATGGAACTTTTGGGTCCTTCCTGTAGTGGTCCTGGGACCTCATATAGATCTGGATTTAATTACAGCACAGCGATGGGAATAGTCTGGGAACGAGGGCATACCTTTCAGTTCTGCTGGACGATTTCTTAAACTTTCTTATTTAAAGATTCCTAGTGGAAACAGTGCAATTTGGAGATGGCGTGATCCCTGCTCTTCTCCCCCCCCCCTTTGGATTTATGGGAGGTTACGGGCTCTATAAATACTTGGGGGTGGGGGCAGCGCAGAGCAAAATCCCTCTCTTTATTGTTTCTTCTGCAGCCTTCACAGCGAAGTTGGGTTGCTGTGCAGAATAACAATACCGAGCTAAGCTCTTGAACAGATCTGCAACATTATCCCAGGCTGAATTGCTACAGACTAGAAGGAGAGCAGGGATTTATAACCCAGCAGTGCCTTCCCACCCCACCCCGCATTTCCCCTTATGTTATCACACACACATTATTACATCTCAGCAGGGAGCCTGCAACGAGAGCTTCCCTTAGAAATCATTATGGAAGCAGTCTGGAGCAAACTAGCTCCAGGGGAAATAGGAGATAACTTTAGCAAGCGCCAAGCCTAGCCAAGCCAAGCCGCAAAGCCAAATTCTAGCTAGGGTTGAAGATTACTGAATTGCGAGAATTCGTTCCTTGTCCTTTGTCTTTGTGAATCTCTCTGTTCTCTCCCTCTTCCCCAACATTCTACAGATTTGATATTTATACAGCAGTTGCCTAGGCTTTGTTAGATATGATATGCAAATCCATAGTGTGGGAAAGAAAGGAAAGCAGATTCAGGTGCATTGTTGTCTTTTATTTTTGTGGGGGAGGGGAAGGGATACTCTTCAATTGCATGAACCAAGTCAAGAAATTCAAGATATGTAGTCTGGCTGATACAGTAGGAAAGCAATGATACTACTTCATGAGGGTATCTAATTTGGAAACCAGCGTCATTGAATGCTAGCACAAGTCATGGGGAAAAGTGATGGATGAGAGGCATGGTTTCAAATTCCAGTTTAGCCTTGGACCTGCTAGTTTACCGTAACCAACCTGGGGAAGGGTCACAAGGTAAAACTGTATAATAGGTACAGTACTTGCGTTTGTAGATTGGCCCTGTATCACACAATGTGAAGCATACGATGTGATCTAGGAAAAGTTGTCCCCTTTTGTTCGGAAATATCCAGACCTCAGAATTAAGTTTAGCTATGCAAACTTAATTCCACTTAGGCCATGCTAGTCTTATAGTCTGTTCCTATTAGCCACATGAATCGTTGAGATCCTCTCCCATATGTATATATGTACCTGATGTGCATGTGTGTATAAGGGGTGTTTGTTGTCCTTATGACATGATATGGGAAGCTAAGGTTTAGTAAATTAGGATTAGCAATGGCCTGTGTTTTTGTGTGGTTGTGGAAGACAAACCAAGATAAAGATTGTAAAGTATGCTGATGCTTTATTGGTATTGGTATGAGAGGTGCTTTCTGCAAACTCTCTCTCTCTCTCTCTCTCTCTCTCTGTGTGTGTGTGTGTGTGTGTGTGTGCAAATAATTATCATCACCCCCTTTGCCACCCAGGAGGCTGGGAAAGCTAATTCCATTGAAAGGGTTATTCAGTTTCATCTGGATCTAAATACACACAGCTACACACACACCAGAAAAAGAGAGAGGGAGATACACACATGTGCACATGAACATACACACAGACAAAGCTTAAGAGCAAGTAGGGTTATAGTCAATATTTCTATGCTACTCATGATGACTAAATACATTCATGACTAAATAATGGCAACAAATGCATATGTCCTCATAGCTTATAGCTATCAATGTTGTCTTCGGTAGAATTTGATTATACGAAGTGTTGTTCTGAATATACCCATTATTTATTACATTTTATAAGATGGCAAATGTACATCATTTTTTGGTCTGCAACTTCCTCGCTCCCTTTAAGTCTGCATTTTGGATTCCTAACATAGATCTTAATTAGGGACTATTGTAATATTCCCGTTAACACTAATTAAAATCAGCCTCACTAGGTGAATGTAAATGGGAAAAGAAAGAATTACATGGATTGTCAGCTAATTAAAGGGGAAGGATAGGGTTAAGAATATATGTTAGCCTGCCAGTAATTCTGTGCACATCTACTCTGAAGTAAGACCAAGTACATGTGTTCAGGAATCAGGATTGTAGTCCAGATGTGCATTAGGCTGAGGGAGATTCTTCCTTCCTCCTTCCTGAATTCCTTCTTGAGATGTCTTTCATTTCTGTTGTGCAACAGTGAGAGGAAAAGACAAGGATAAGTATAGCAGACTCTGCAGTGGCAAGGGTCAAGTGAGGGCCATAAAATAATCTAAGCATTTGCATTTTAATGTTCACTTTCTGCTGGAAACCAGTGCATAACCTCAAAGGTTTTATTCTAGGTATGGTTTGCTATGGATGTTTACTGGATTACTGTAGTATTTTTTTAGAGAAGGAAGAAATGATATATGCCTTGCATTTAAAAAAACCAGCCTCCTGTATTCCAGTGAATATATAAATACCAGGTGCATATCTGTAATCCTATATATTGCTATTTAAAATGAAATGAGATTGTATGCAGGATGTTGTGATGATATATGCTTTTATGCAAACTTAAACAAATGTGCCTTCCAGAAGTAAAACCCATTTGCTTCTGGAATTTAGCATTTCCCTCTCTGTTCCAAATAGACACAATGTGCATGCAAATTGCGAAAGACATTCATCAGGTTCAAAAATGGCAACATCATAACTTGGAGTATATTGAGTTTCATTAGTTGGCACCTTTTCAGACATGGACAACCTTGTCTTTGAGACATGGTTTTTGCATCACAAGGACACACCCTACTCCCACCCCAGTTCCAAATTCGAAAGGCATGCAGTACACATTTGCTGCCTTGCTACCTCTGGAAACATATCTTCAGGTCAAGAAGGAAAAGAAGGAAAAAAGAACTGGTGAAATAGTTCAGTTTTATGCTTGTAAAATTCACAGAGTTCTCTCTAACCCCTTCTCAGATTTAGCATGTTTCTGAGTTATTTTCAGATAGTATTATTGTTAAGAGGAGGAGGGGGAGGAGGAGGAGGAGGAGGAATAATTTAAAATCCTATAATTACAAAGTGGCGCCTTTGTGGATGGAAGGACTATAATCTAGAGGAGGAGGCAGACATTGCCTCTGCCAGTGAACTGTCAGGCTTTAGGCTGCCGTGGGGGAGACTAAAGGAAAGTTTCACCCAAAGTTGTTTCCAGTATGTGGGCATATTCACAAAAGGACTTGCAAACCATGTTCTGTATTCTTTAGCTCGAAAGAAAATGTGGGAAGCAGTCCTGGGAATAAAACTTGTAATTCTGTACAAGGCCAGCAGCTATTCATTCTTTGCACCTGTGCACAGATCATTCTAGGCGTCTGTGTGGTGTGCACACGGGAAGGGGGACTAGTGTAAGCTGTGTTTGTATGCTTAATGATTATGCATGAGATCGGTTCACACCTTCCCTCTCCTCTGCACAAAAAAAATGATACATGTGATGTTGATTGTTTGGGCAGATTGAAGGAAAGACATGTATAGCTATTATATCAGAAACTTCAGAGTCAGACAGTCTCTCTCCCCCCCTCTTCCCCTAGACCCCCCCCACCTAAACAGGAAGTTACTCTATAATTTTTAAGTAAGCTTTGGAGAAGTAAAGAATATTTTCACTATGTATAATTACTGACATCAAAATAATCAATATTATTTTTGGACATTCAGATGCCAGAGATGTCCCATCCACTGAGGGGATGCTGCTACCCTGAAATTTTGGAGTGGTGCCCCCTATTGGACAATAAGTCACTCCTGACAGGTATATCTGTATACATTTCGAAGGTGGGTTGAGTCTGGTATGAACACAGAAACACAGGAAGCTGCCTTCTGAGTCAGCCTGTTGCTTCATATAGCCCAGCACTGGCAACTCTGACTGGCAGAAGCTCTCTAGAGTTTAAAGCAAGATTCCTTCCAAGACCTACGTGGACGTTCTGGATGGGGAATTGGAACATGGACCATATGCGTGCAAAGGATGTGCTGTGTATCTATGATCCATGACTCCCTTCCCATGATTTTCCAAAGGCTGTTAGTGCTTAAAGGCTAAAGGAACATCATTGCAAAACTTAAGC